GGTGGCGTGCGGTAATTTGTCTCCTCGTGGGTCTACAGACCAATTTGTATCGCTGGATGGAGATATATAACAGTACAATTCCCGACGTAACTCCTCCTGTTTGAAGAAGGAAAGAAAATACCTTGCACACTGCTCCATCTTTTGGGAGAACAAAGTAAAAATTTAGGAACAGAGAATAAGTGACTCCTGCTATCAGTGCACCAAGGTCCAGCTCCGCCAGAAACAAGATGAAGTAACGGTTGTCCGTCTGCATGTGCGAGCGAGATTTGTATACGAAAATTACAAGTAAATTTCCTACCACTCCAATGGTCAAATATAAGCATAGTATGACTGTATTAAGTAGACGATCCGAGGCAATTTGACTATTCCAGTCTTCGAGGTCTCCAACCATAGAACCATTGTAGGTCACGTTTGTTGTTACCCCGCTTTCATTCATGATCCTATGCAATGTCAGAGACGAATAAAATGAAATCCCGTTTACACCATATCTGATTAAAGCTTTTTTTTTTTCGTCGGAATGCGTAGAAAACTTTCCGGTATGCGCGGGGACCCACTGTGCATTATTGTTTACAACAAGTGTCCTTTTCCCGGAAATGACACAATACTGCTCAGAAGTTAAGATTATTAAGGCGAAAGTTTCATATCACACGACAAATTTCTACTTCAAATGATTTAAAAATAGAAACTAAAAAAAAAATTAACAAGAGGCGATTTGACGGTTATCTGAGTATCATGAGTTTCTCAGATATGACAACTTTGGTCTAACATGGAACTAAATCTCTGGTTTGGTAAGGACGGTATGATTTAAATCATATTCATGCAGCTTGTCTCCTAGAATTCATAGCGTAAAACTGCGAAGATAATATGTACAATACATAATACATTTCAATGTTTAACGGTTCAAACCCACCCTTTCTAGTTCCCTGGAGGATGAATTTTTTAAATAAAATTTTGTACAAGGTTAGCTGCTCATTATAATCATCCGAACAATTTGCTCACTAAATGTCCATGAGTAATGAAGTTTTTTAAAGATGTTACCAGTTTGCCTAATCTTAGCCAAACTCCGTGGCCTGCCTGATGTGTCGGGGTGTGGGGAGGGGTATGAATTACAATTTGGTATAGTGTCAAGCGTTCAATATAAACATGCAAACAGTAAATTTGTCTGCTAGATGTCTATTAGCGAAGATTTTCAATCTGAGGGTGTAATTTATTTCATATATATATCATTTACTCAGTCCCATCCTGAGCCTGAACTCTGGACCAAAGGGACAAGACTTTTCAAATTTGGTAAAAAAAAAAAAAAAAAAAAAAAAAAAATATATATATATATATATATATATATATATATATATATATATATATATATATATATATATATATATATATACTTACAATCACGTAATCAATTTTTCCCAAGTAGATAATCTTCAAAGAAAAAAACAACAACAAATAAACAAACAAATTTCAGATACAAGACCGACTTAGCCACATCCTCGGGTCTGAACCATAGGCCCGAAGTCACGACTTTTATTAGTTTGGAAGATGGTTAAGTCTTTATTATAACCATGCAAACAGTTTGCCTGCTAAATTCCAATGAATAAAGAGAAAACTTTCAAAAATATAATGTTTTTTCAATATATGATCAACTAAGCCCAACTCTATGACCTGAACTTTGGATTTAGGGCCAAAAATTAGGGGAAAGAATTTTTCCAACGAAAAAGAAACACTATCCATTTTAAAAATTTATTGCCAATCACTTACACTGAACATGTTAGCAAAAAGGCACAAATCACCAAAAAACATCGAATTATAATTATAACCATTAATCATGATATTTTTTTCATATAGCGGAATAGCATGTATAGTTACCATGCATGGTAACAGTTTATCTTAAAAGCTCTATTTTAAATAGCCGATGATAATGCAACATAACAAAAAGCTTATTAATAAGTTCCATTTTCACATATATAACACTAAAATGATGTTCAAAGTTTATTTCTAATGACAAGTGTACATAATGTGCATTTCGAACGAAATATCCATTCAATTACACTATATATCCATTATATACATGTATTAGATTATGGATTAACATAAAAGTTGTATGACTATAACAAATACAATGCAAGTATTTAAATTTTCCTGATTTAATCACAAAGCATAGGACTTCACACAAGTCACAAATGCTCAAATAACACAAAAACAAAAAGACGTGTACAAGTTAACCATGTTTCATTTATTATTTGATTAGATACCAAAAAAAAAAAAAAGAAAAAAAAAAAAATCCACTTCGATGAGCTATGCGTTTTAGTGAAGACATAGCGTATTCATAAAACCTTTTCAAGACATACAGAACCAAATAAAGTGTTCATGTCCAATTTATAAAACAATGGCTAAAATTCAGAAGAGTTTTAAGTAGATAGCCTACTGTAATATTACATGACTAGATGCAAGGTTTAACATAGACCGTTCTGCCTTTGTGCTATTTTTACGCTAAGTAGGAAGTATGTCACCTTTTCTGCGAGTACTCGACGTTGCTTTTCTGCGAAACAATCTACAAAGGGTTGACTGTATTCACCAATGTTTGATTTTTTTCCGCGTTTTTAAATACAACGGGTAACATGCTGCCACTTTATTTTAAAACTCTCTCTCTCTCTTTCAAATTTTTAAATTCAGCCATCAGGCAAGTTTTTATAGATAATTTCTCAGTTCAGTCCGGTCTGTGCGGGGCTTTGGTCATGGAAATAATTCACAAAGAAACAATTGCGGCAACAAATTTATAGATAGGAAATTTAATGTTTCATAAAAGAGTGAATACGTTTCTTTTTAATGTTGCAGTACCTATAAAAATCATGCAGGAATTTTACAACCATATAGCGCTAGTCTTAATTACAACAGCTCTCTGTGCGGTGGTAATGAGGTCTCAAGCACAACAGCGCTGTGTGCGTAGGTATGGGGAAGTCTCAAGCACAACAGCTCTCTGTGCGGTGGTAATGAGGTCTCAAGCACAACAGCTCTGTGCGTAGGTATGGGGAAGTCTCAAGCACAACAGCTCTCTGTGCGGTGGTAATGAGGTCTCAAGCACAACAGCTCTGTGTGCGTAGGTATGGGGAAGTCTCAAGCACAACAGCTCTGTGTTGGTGGTAATGAGAATTAAGCCTAAAGCACAGCAGCTCTGTGTGCGGATCAGGGTAGAATATGTTTAAAAATATATCCTTTGAAAATTATTAGAGAGGAGCTACAAATTCATGGAAATCCAACTTCCTCTTCCGCGTGGTATAAAGCAGGGGGCAAAAGATAAAAACAAATTACGGCAGCCTGTATTGCAGAGAAAAGGTAGGATTTTTATGCATAGGAAAGCAGTGTCAATTCACGGAAAAGGGGAACAACTTAATACATGTATCTGTACTTCCTTATTCGTTTATTAGCTGGTATGGCTCAATAAATTAATAAGGAATGTATACGAAAAAATAATTAAAATAGCTAGCATAAAGATTGAATTCCAAGAAATATATTTGTGTTCAGCAATGATCTGAACTACGATGGAATTGATCAAAGGACAAGGGGGTGGGTGGGGGTAAAAATAAATATTAATACATCTACACAAAATTTAAAATACATATACCAGAGCAAACGTAAAATAAATAATGCATTATTACACTAAAGGAATGCAACATAATTCAGAAAAATAGATACATGTATTTTGTCCCATAGTTTAATAATTCACAAGCATTTCCATAAAATCAAACGGTGTATGGCTACATTTTTCTCTAAACTTTATTTCAAAAGTACTAAAAATATTAGAATCTGATATATAACTGCAAATTTTTGCAGTAAAATAAATAATTTCACATTTTCCAGGTAGACTACTTATGGTGAAATGTTAAAATGCACATTAAAGGTACTGTTTAAAATTCCAAGAAATAAAAAAACATACAAATAAAGTTGAACATCATTATCTCGAAAAAACAGAATATGTCAAAGTGATTTGGAGGTCCAAACTACTTTTTCTGTATGTTTTTTTAACCTCGTTATCTCGAATCCTCGGACGTCTCAAAGGTTAATTTCAGTCCCAACAAGTTGGAGATATCTTGAAGTTTAATCTCAGTCCCGACGAGTTCGAGATAGCGAGGTTTCATATTTTCTTAGTATTTCATTTGAATGGTCCCTGACAATATCCAAGGATCAAGAGATCATTACACTGAAATATAAATAAATATAATTTACGTTTTCATCAAAAATAGAGACTTGAATATTATAGACAAATTACTGTTGAAGATTTAAAAATACAAAGAATCACATGTATAAAAGAGAGCTCAGGTCATACAATCATACATGTACTATGTTTGTTTGGCAGTGTAATATTGATATGTGTTAGTACTCAGTTACAGTTTGAATGGAAAGTTAAGAAAAAAATGTTTGTCCCCCTAATATACCCTGTAAAAGACGAAGATCAAAAATTTTAGCCGTTTCTAAGTTTGTTTAAAATAGCTCATCTTAAATTCTCATGCACCCCTGATTAATGTAAAGAAAAAAATAATTTGAAAAAATATATTTTGGACTTGGTTACAATTCTTTTTGTATAGCAGACTCTTGGTGATCAAATCAGTGAACCATTAAATCATAGAGAAAATCCATTCCTTATTATCAGAATGCCGTGTCTGTACATTCTGTCAAGTTTGAAAATTCTACGTTTTGAATTAAACCTCATGTACTTACCATTAATTATGGATATTAAGTCACTCAGTACATATAAAATATGAAATGACAGAATTCAGATTTTTTTTAAATTCAAAATTCATTTAAGTGGAATCTACATGTATTTCACATATATAGCAATCACTCTTTTGGGATGCATTTAAATAATCATAATATTAATCTTAATTATGATTATTAAATAATAATAACGATAAAAATTCTTTTCGAATAATTTAAATGATTAATAATTATAAGATATACACCTGAAATATTTTGTTCAACAAAAGTCATCATATGACAAAGTTTGAGAAGAAAAAATACTAAAAGAAAAATTAAAATCCAACTAAGAAATAGTTAAGAAACTAAGACAAATATTTCACATAAATTAAAGACTGACCTATAACTACTTTACAATACCTATCTTAGCAGGACAAAAAATATGAAGTTTTATTGAAAAAGTGTCATACAAACATACCAATGGTATTCCCAGTATCAGCTATTTACCGTGTAGTCCTGGTGTGTTGGTGTGTATGTGCATACTTCACAATGTCCCTATGAAGAACAGCAGTTGGGGGGGGGGGATTAAATAGCATATTAATCAGGTTTTAAAGACTGTTTCACAAAATATTATGCTGAACTGATTTTGTCTTGGTTTTGTACATTCCATCCAGTTGCATGTTTTTTGTTTTTTTTTTAATTTTAAATTTAAACCCTCTTTTGTTGACCTTGACTTGTAGAAAACATGCATTCTTGATGATCCTCCTTGCTTAGCTTCTCCCTCTTGTAACATTTTTCCAAGAAAATGCCTAGGAGATACATGTACATATATTAATTCCAAACTAAAACCAACAAACACTACTTTCACACATATCCCAGAACCCTCAGCTTGTTTCATCAAACAATAAATGCAATTATCCATCACAGATCCATAAGTCAAAAATGGCTCCACAGCACCGAGGACATTTCTATCCTAATATTCTCTAATCTACATAACAGTTGGCTAATATATGGCTTCATTATTCATCAAACTCGTTAGCCAGGAAGTGGGCAACAAAGGCAGCCCGCTTTATCTCCTCCTCCTTTTGTTTGGCTTTCTGGGCCGGGGAGGATATAGATCTTGCAAGGGTGTTGGGCGGGGGGCGTAGGAAGATTTCTCCAAATATAGAGGCTACAAAATACAAAAACACACAGGTTATAAATTTATCAAATTTAATACAAAGATATGTTACTATCAAGCTCTACAAGAAAGTCACATTACTAGTTATAAAATTTTAAAATGACTTTTAAAACAAGTATTATAATACATGTATTAAAATGATTAAGTTCTCAATTTGAAATAGTTTACACACTGTATTTGCTATAAACCTGTCACAAGAACTTTGTATTGCATAATTTTTATGAGTTTGTCTCCACTCAAAATTAAAGATCTTATGAATAATGACAGGAAATAAAACTTATACCATATTGTACAGAGAGAGTGGGAAAAATGTTGCAAGCAAATAAATATAATGCTACAAGTTGAGCTTTTTCAAAAAGCTTACCGTCTTTAGCAACAACCTTAAACAGTAAACTGACCTAAACCTATCAGGCCGTATAATTCTTGAACATTTCTTGGCTCTGTATTTCTTCATTAGTTTTTTTCAGACATAAGCTCTACCAAGTGAAACGTTAACAGATGCTCGGGTGTCTCCGTAAACTTCAACTCTGCTGCCTAGATCATTCGGCAAACCTCGGCTGATTCCGTCACCTCTGTGATATGTAGATGAGGTACGAATCGGTCGAGGTGTTGCCGAGTGCTGCCGAGATTAGGAAGACAGTGCAGAAGAAAGGGAAAAAGTATACATACAAGTTGTAAAGCTTGCATGCAATAAAAATCAATTCTGTTAACAATGAAAATATAGAAACGTTTTTTTGGTAATTGCTATAAAAAAAACGATCATGTTAAATCGAATTAACTAGTCCCAATTCCACTGTTCGTTTTGTCATATTTTTTTTACGATTGAAAATCATGAAAAATTGTTAAGTCCCACGAAAATTAGATCATCAGAAAATTATCTCCCTTGCCTTGAACAACATTTCAGCCAATGAAATAATTCAAAATTTTCTCATCATGCAATTTCTACCAATCACAAAAGAGAAGAAGTGCATAGTCCGACGACAGTAAAATACTTCAACTCTGTATACCGTCTTCCAAGGAAGACGGTAATAATCACACACAAATAAAGTCATGTGCAACATAAAAAAATTATTGAGTTCAAATCTAAAGTTTTCTTTTTCATTTATCATGCATCACCTTCACACTCACAAGTATACCCCCCCCCCCCCAAATACATACATACATATATATATATATATATATATATATATATATATATATATATATATATATATATATATATATATATTTGCATGTAATTTGCAATATGAATTCTCAAGAAGTTTCATAATTTTTTCTTTAACATGACTCTATATACAATAAACTCTTTCTGTGTGTATATTAATTTCTGTTTATTTGTAAGAATCAAATTTTATAGATTTTGAATAACAAATGTCCAAGGGACAATACTTGTTCATCAAAACAGAATTTCTACTGAATGTTACTAAGCTCTTTAAGCAGATACATGTAAATGCACAATGCAGGATAAAATAGAACAAGGGGTATGACTCATTATAGCTTCACTTACACAGTATGTTAATGTCTAGGTTGTTTTGTTGGGAATGGTTGAGGAGTTCCCTCAAGAATGCACATAAATAACGGAACAGGTTCTTGTGATGTTCTGGGATCTGGGAAATCACCTACAGAAGAAAAAAACAGACTGATACAAGCAGGTCAACATACCGAGAAAACTGCCTCTCTATATATACTTAAGTTTATAAAAAGAGTCAATATAAACATTTTGAAAAAAAAATTAAGTAAAATAAAAAAATATATTAAAGTTGTCAACATACCTGTTTACACACCATGTAGTTAGCGGAACATTCTAAACATCTATAGTAAACCCTGCTGGGAATGACTGGATCTGGGAGACATTCTAAAAATAGTAACAAGGCCTCGGCCACAGAATGAATACTGCCAGCTTATGGAAGATTAAGGAACTCTAAAATTTATATATATTTATAATCACTTACTTTTCAAAACATGTTATCAAAGACTAGGGGACCTGATGATTGTTATCTGTGAGTAAGACAAAGTCCCATAAAAATAGAGTGTTCAATAATACTGTAAATCACCTATTATTTGAACTTTATTTTCCCATAGATGCTTTGCTCAAGAAAATTTTTATGTTTAGTACTAACAATTATATACATGTGCAACAATTTCCAGGATTGGTGAAATTTTTATCTTGCTTACATGTATAAATACCAAATAATTTTCTCAAGATAATAAGGTGTTGCAAAAATTTGGTGATCTACAGTATACATTTGAAAGGGCAGTAATTCAGTCAAACCTCTATCTCGAATTCAATGGGACTGAGAAAAAACTTAAAGAATAAGTGTTTCGGAATTCCAAATCACTTCTGCATATCCATGATATTCAAGATATCAGTGTTTGAGATACCGAAGTTCAACTGTATTTACAAACACCTCAATAAAATTCTTACAAATCAAGTATAAATTATCCAAACTGTAGCTTTATATTTCAACATATCAAAGCGTACCATTTCCTGAAAACTATTTTTTTAAACATGAGGAATGAATAAGAGGCAAATTTGATGTGTTATGCCATGCTTGTTGTAGTTCTAAAAATTTTTTCTCTCAAATACATTCAAACCTTGTTATCTCAAACTTCATGGGACCAAGAAAATACTTCGAGATATCTGGGGTAAAATACTTAAGAAATAAGTGCTTGGGATTTCAAAATCAGTTCGACATATCCATGGTATTCAAAATACCAAAGTTCAACTGTATCACATATTCATCACTTTTTCATTCATTCATTCATTTTGATTTTCATTTGAAGGATACGGATCTTATCAGGTACACCTGTGTCTAGGCAATCTCTGATGGCCTGCAGCTCTTTAGTTAATCCTGCCTGTTGGAACAACTCACTCTGCAAGTAACAGATGAAAAGAAATTGAAAAAAGTACAAATGTTAGTATGTAAAAATAAGTTCTAATCAAACAGTAGTGTGAATGGTTTACACATTTCATGTGATTTTATTTCCTTTGAGACATGATTTTGTACAATTTTTCTGTGTATCTTTGGTACAATTGTAACGTAAGTGTTCAGTTAATCTCTTATCATTAGTGATTCAGCGATAGTCACCGACGATCAAAAAATTGTCATTGGAAGGTTGGCGATGCCGACAATCGATAGCGTAGCAGCAAAATCGATCGTCGCTTTATATATATATATATATATATATATATATATATATATATATATATATATATATATATATATATATATATATAAATTTATATGTAACTACTTTAAACATTATGCTAAATCTTAATATATATCTTTTTTTCATGTAGTGTTTCCTTTTTTCTTTTGTACAAAGAAGACACACTGCAGCTGATTAATTTTTAAATGTATCTTCCATGTGCACACATATAATGAATTCCTGTGTGTTCGCCTGTACTAAACGATGCATTTAACTACACTGACAGTGCCTGGGAAGGTCAAGCAACAGGTGGGGCCAATGGCCCCACTGTTCATAAAATGATGGGGCCATTTTGAAATTTAAGGGGCCGAGGGGAAATATATTGGGGCCATTCTAAAATAAATCATAGTATGATGCTATAGGATAATGCATATATATCTCTAACAACAAAATTTAGGAAAATTAAAAAGAAAAATGCGATAGAAATTGACAAGTCATATGACATTGACTAGTACAAATGATTTTTCCGTTTCTAAGAACTTCAGTCAATTGTCATCTAGATTCTAACCAGGGACCTATATACTAACAGGTCCCTGATTCTAACCAACTACTATTTAGAAAAAATATATTTAAACCAAAAGCACCTTTTTGAACGATGCCGATTTAGAGATCACGGGACAGGCAAAAATACATTGTAAGTGGACTTCGTTGAAAAGGTTTTTCACTGTAAGGTATATAAATTTTCCATGTGCGTGAATTTCGTAAAGCTGTGGTCAACCATCGAAAACGACTAGACAATTACGAATCGAACAACATGAAAAAAAAAATTGTTTCTTTGCCAGTCAATGTCAAAATGCCGAATGATGGTTCCAATTTTATTTTATAATACATCACAGATTCCATCTAACTTCGATGAAGAATACAGATAGCGCGGACTGCGATGAACTTACAATGTAAAAAAACATTTTGCGGGGCGCGCCGCATGGCGCTGCGCACCGTTATTTCATTGCGCCATTTTTCGACAGTATGCGCGTATGGCGCGGCCCCTTCCCAGGCCCTGCACTGAGTCAGTGAATGATTCATAAAAATCTAAATAAAATTCCCTTGTGTTAATGCAGGACATAATTCCTTTAAGCAACAAAAGAATTCATGATAAAACTATTAAAAGCACCACTCTTAAAAAAATTGTCTTTTAACCTGAATTTCCTCTGCTCTCACACTTGAAATGATATTTTCAATTTTCCACTCATATTTTGTCTATTACTTTTTACAGTTTAAACAGTTATAGGTCAGTCAGAAGTCATACACGAATCTACTGCTTTTTTTTTGATTATATAAAATGAATTCACAAGAAGTATTAATTAGTATTTTATTGTGCATACCAATATGCTGTGTGTACAGTTTCATAATTACATACTATTAAAATTCCATTTTATTGAATTGAAATTTAAGCAAGTGTTAATAGTTATAGTAAACTATCAGCAGATTCATTAAAACTTAAATATAGGCCAACAGGTATACTTATCAATTATTTAGACACTTGTGACTATAAGCACAATACAAGGCCTTTAATTATGTAAATATAAAGAAACACAAGAAATGTCCGATTATTTTCGATTATGAATCGAAATGGTGTTTCTGATTCGATTCGATAGTGTTTTTCTTCCGATTCTGAAACACTACTTATCATTGGTCTCCTACGAGGGAAACTGGAAGGGACTGTCTATGGGTTTCCTCTTCGTCTGTCCCTCTGTCTGTCAGTCTGTCCCACTGGGTTTTACACACTTTTTTTCTGCATGCTTGCAAATATTGAGCTGATTTCTTGATATGAAAGTCTGCCATGTTGAGTTTCAACTGCTTCAACAATTTCTTTAATGAATTTACAGCATTTAAAGTTTTTTAGAGAACAAGTATTTATTTGCCAGTAAGGGACTAGTATCGCTGATGCAATACTCCCAGAATGCTTTTTCAAGGTAAAACTTTCTTTTTCCATCATAAGCATTAATTTTGCAAAATTTAAATAAATGTAAATAAAGGTCTGGCACATGTACTTTACTGTAAATACAAAATGTAGTACAACAATGCAGAGCTCCATGTTACAGCTCATTATCATTCTTACACCATTACCCGTACTTCTTACATAAATCTATTGATTATTCAAAAATCTTCTATTATTTTTTATGACCTTGATCTTCATATTTTATACTTACTATGTACCTAAGTCGAAATCAAATGTATAAACTCATTATTTTCATTCGCTGTCCATGTCTGTAAGTGTTTACTGCTAACCATGCAATGACTTTTGCCACCCTCCCCCTCCCTCTTTCCAAGTAAAAATTCCACCGAAACAGTATTTTCACAAAAAAATTGTCTCCTTTAATTTCAAGTAATAAATCTTAAGATATTATATCATAGTCTACCTTGTCTCTCCCATAATGCCATATATGGTCAACAAGCCTCCATACTTCCTTAGGTACAGCATACAGTCTGCCTCCCTGTGTTAAATCTCTAGACATCAGACTGCCTGGCTGCTCCTGAAATATATTGAATTGCAAATTGAAATTCTTTGTTATAATTGATGAATTTGCAATTTGATTAATCTTAGACTCCATTTAATCACACTTGCTCAGATTCTAAGTAAATGGAATCCAGTTTTGAGTGTCCCATCAAAATGTTGAGTTGTAAGGGTCTCTCTAACTGAAAACATTAATGTACTCACTATCTCCATATTCAGCTTTTTGTAAGTTAAGAGTTTTTCTGATTGGTCAGTTTACTGTATAACACTAGTGCACTCACTATAAGAGTTTCTCTGATTGGTTTGTTTATTGTTTAATTAGTGCACTCATTATCTCTATCAGCTGATCTGTAAGAGCCTCTCTGATTGGTCTGTTTATCAATTAGTGTACTCACTATCTCTATCAACCGATCTGTAAGAGCCTCTCTGATTGGTCTGTTTATTGTTTAATTAGTGTACTCACTATCTCTATCAGCTAATCTGTAAGAGCCTCTCTGATTGGTCTGTTTATTGTTTATTTAGTGTACTCACTATCTCTATCAGCTGAGCTGTAAGAGCCTCTCTGATTGGTCTGTTTATTGTTTATTAGTGTACTCACTATCTCTATCAGCTGAGCTGTAAGAGTCTTATAATATTAGAATACTCACTATTTATATCAACTGAGCTGTGAGAGTCTCTCTGATTGGTGTGTTCATTGTATAATATTAGAGTACTTACTATCTCTATCAGCTGAGCTGTAGGAGTCTCTCTTATTGGTCCATGCATCTGAACGAGGGCCTCTAAGGAACAACCAAAGCTGGATGGGATGAAGTTTCCATTCACAGTTACCTACACATATGGTTAGGGAAGATAGACTCTGGTTTTAGAATCTTATTTGAAACTCTTTATTAGGTCTAGTGTCATGGTTATCTAGTAAGTCTTATAGAAAGGAGCTGTCATACTTACATATATAGGAATCATTCAAGAACAATATTCAAGGTAGATTTATATCATATGAGACCTATTCCAAAGTATCAGAATGTTCGGATGCCAATACTGATATTCAAATACAAGTGGAAAATATAGACTTCTTTTCTGACAGCCCCTCAAGTTAAACAGTAAACTAAATACATGTATATGCCTCACTATATAACTAGTTATAGTTTGAATTTGTTACTAATATAGCAAATGATAACATCACAACCCCTCCCCCTATTTAGTATATGTAGGTAATTATTTAAGGGAAATCATAAAAGGATTTTTTTTTAAATCACATTTGACAAAACATGTTTTATATATTACACAGTGGACACACAACAGGATTTAACTAAGCCAGTCAATTTTTCCACACACAATATACACAAAGGATACAAAGAAATCCTTTCCACCATTAAGATGTAGGACCAGGATATCATCTAACACGTGATTGGATGCATCTAATGCCGCTACACAAGTCTTTTCTACCAGCACGTCTAAATGGATTTCACAGCTTGATCCTACAACAAAACATTAAAGTTTGAATCTTTCTAGCTACATTTTGTACATGTATCTATAATCTTTTTCATTACTTAGAAATCATAACACTTTGAAAATGAAACTATGTAACCTTAGCCTCTACATGTAAGAATACTCAAATCATTAATTTTATAGCAGCTGCTAAATCTTATACATTGCATCATATTATCATTTTTCTATATTGATGTACAGCAAAAAAGACCCCACAGATATTTTTTTAAAGTAGATTTTTATTTCCGATCCCTAAATAATTTTTGTATTAATTTCAATTGGGCTTATCTCATATCTAAAAGGCAATTTGTAAAGTGAAATTTTTTTGTTGAGAATACAGTGGGATCTCCTTATTACGGTGACGGATTTATAAGATAGAGCGCTTTTTAGACGGTGGCTATTTATAGCCACAGGCTATTGCTGCTGGTCTGGGCTATGAATAAACAACAGTGTAAAAACACGGGGACCCTAGCAGCGATTTTTGCAGAGACAAAATAATGAAAGTGGAGTCGTTTCGATGTTCGAAAATAAAATGCACATGGTTCTCAAGTTATTTCAATGACATTTTGTTGATGGGCGCAAAGTTTAATTCCTGATATTTCCCGTTTTAATATTTCTCGCCTCATGAATATTCATTAAACTACACCGACTTAATGTTAATTCGAACAAAAACTGATTCGTATATAAGGAGTCAATTCGTATGCAAACCACAAAAGTCAATTCATACATAAAGTTTGTTGAGTATGAAACAAATGCAAAAAGTTAGTTCGTATACACGTCCTTTTTTACGTTGTGTAAATGTAAAATTTCAATAAAATTTATTAAAAGTAAAAAAAAAAAATCTGGGGGAAAAATATTTATGGATAATGGTTTCAAATTACACCTTACCATCTTAGGAAATAAAATAATTATTGTTAAACCAACACACTCTCGGCGGTTTCTTCGCTCTTGGATGTGTAACAAACACTTATTATACAAGATGTTCCCAATTTGGTATTCCCTAATTACGAAATACTCCATGCTTGGAATGCCTCAATCCCCAAATTTCTCCATTTCCGAAAATTCAGTTAACATGATTCGAGGACTGCGTATTCCTTGTTGCAGAACTGCATGTTTTATTTGAGACGTTTTGTGAAATTTTTATTCAATAATACTTATACAGTTTATTGAAATTTTGCGGTGTCTTTTGATGTATGGAATTTCTAGTATCTGTTGATGATACTATTAAAAAGATATATTTTCGGAATGGAAAAAAATCACGTCCTCTTAAAGTTTACATACATGTAAAAGAGAGTTGTTGAAGGCAGATACAATGCCATTTTGCAAAGTTAATTTCGGTTCTATCTAAAAACAAAAGTCATTGCCTAATTATCTCGGACACAAAAACTACTGAAAGGATGCTAATTTATCAAAGCTATAATTATAAGACTGTGACGAACAAAAGTTACCCACTCATATATTTCATTTGTATTTGAAAATTCTATCGTGACTCGAATAAAATTTACCCTTTAAAAAGTGTAAGAAAAAAAACTACACAAATGCATGTACATGAAATATTAGGATTTTCTTGCGAATTCAGTTGATTTAATTTAGGTCAGTCTTCTCCTACATGTGTTTTCAAAACTTCGTATTACGCAATGACTAGCGGGGTCAGTGCATATAAAGATACTAAGAGAAATAGAGGGTGAAAGATATTTTGTTATTCTGTTCTTTTTTCTTTTCTTTTCGAACAGTATATATATATATATATATATATACATATATATATATATATATATATATATATATATATATATATATATATATCAAACAAAAAGGTAAAACTACTGTACAATTCTTGAAGTCTTTCAACCTTATAGAAATACATGTAAGTAAATTACTGGAAATTTGGCAAAAATGGGGATCCAAAGATAAAGTCTATTTCATTATCTTTCAGCATATGATTTGTGTCGCACAATCTACAGTACATCGCCAAAAGTGATTCATCATTTCCCTTTTTACCATATATTTTAAGAAAAGTTAGTTTTTTTTTGTTTTTTTTTTTAAATATTGTGAGTTCAATTTAACTCCAGATTAGCAAAATTTGATAATTAACCACTGAGTATAAGAATTTAAATTATAAAATCACAATTTCTGTTTAACAACTTCAATTAATACATGTCCTCATCATACTGACGCAAATATAAAATAACTCATTAAATACATGTATTGTAAAAATTGCAACAAACGTTCATAATTTCCATATCATTTTACAGATTCTCATATTAATTTATTTAATTTAATTCATTCATGCCAGTGGCCGGTAATTAGAGCGTTTGCTCTAGATGTCAAGGAGTAAGGAGTCGATCCTTAGGTTGCGGGTTCGAATCCCACTGCGGGACGTGGAGACCGTTCCTTCAGATGAGACCGTTAAACTGGGGTCCTGTGGCGCAGTTAGTGCTGGCCAGAAAAAAGATCCCTCACTGCACAATGGCCCTGAGTGTTGAGTATAGATATAAAATTTGCAGCTCACCAATGGCAATGGTGGCGTCTCATTATGAGTGAAAAATTCCCGAGAGGGACGTTTTAATTAAAACAAACAACAATCAAACAAAATCATTCATGCCACCGTCTATAAGTACTCACAGTACTTTGATTACGTTGTAAATTCAAAGCACAAAACCATTTCTTTACAAATCTATACAAGAAAGGACCGTTTATTACGTTATCCAAAAATGCCGGGACTCGGTATTACGATGTAAAAATTTTGACCAAAAAAAAATTCCATCCGTGTTTATTCAGTATTGATCGATAATTGACACTTTAGGAGACGCTAAATAAACATTGGAACACCTGTTGTCTGACAAGGTGTGTTCACTACCAAACCTGTTAGGTGATTAGTGACGCTTGACTGATCACACTTTGACAGGTCAGGAAGAGAAGCCGTTGTTTCCAAGCCATTGATAAACTTTGAAAGTGTGCATATCTATAGCTTCTAGTTTATTTAATTATGTAAATTTACTTTATTTTTTAAAGGTTGGTTACCAAATAAAACTTATTTATAAAAGAAAACGTTGCATTTAATTGTGTTGATGCGTGTTTAATCCACTGTGTAACTACGTTCGCCATTACACGTGTTAATGGACAGCTTGGGTATCAAACATTATTTTTTTGGGGGAAAAAAACCCTCAGTCAAGTTTCAACAGCTTGGATAATGGCTTGGGCCAATTTAGAAGTGTTAACTGTTTTTTCAGTGAAGTTTTCATGAACGCATTGTCTACGTACACATGAAAGTGAAAGTAAAAGAAAATGGAGGGATCGCGGGAATGAATCCACATAGCCTATGTTTACTACAAAATATGATTGCTGCATTAGAAATAAAGCAAAAGGAGTTCAACAGCATGAAGAAATATGCATTTACAAGATAAGTTGTGAATAAATTAAAGTGTCAAAGTGTTTTAACTAAGATATTTAAGGTAGAACGGAAGAATAAAATACAATTCAATACACAGATAACATAGCCTTTCAAAACGATGTTTTAGTGAATTTTATTGGGAACTTTTATTACGTTGCCCTCGGTATTACGATATTTTACCGTGACAAAATGAACATCGTAATAACAAGACCGCACTGTATTGAAGATTTTCATGAATTCAGGGTTAACTTAAACTTATCTTTTAAGCAGTAAAAAAGGTTTAAACTGGCAATCAATGCTTCCAATCAATTTTGTTGGATTAAACAGCATCAACATTGGAGAATACTTTAGAAATATAAAGATATATTTAGGGACCAACTTGTAGATAATTTGACAAAATATCCAACATATGGATCATTACTTTTACAATTGTACTGTATGTACCTTTTTGGTTATTTTTAGTTTTCCCTTGTGACAGGTGTACATGTAACATATAATAATGATGTATATTTTTGTTTTTACTTGCATTGGCATTTGAAATAAATGCTCTTTTTCAATTCAAAGTATGTTGCTATTATCTTTTGGCAAAAAACAGAGCAGAGTAGATTCTGGTAGAAAAATGAAGAGAGGGTATTTGAAGTTAAAATAGACGATGGTATAATATGCAATACATGTAATTATAATTACCTGGGGTTACCACAGATTTGTATTACCTGGGGTTATCACAGATTTGTATGGTGAAATTTTGAGCCATGGTTGACAATAACTCTTCTCTTCTAGTTTGTTTATAAATTCAAACTCCACAGGAACCTGTTCAATGAAAATTACACATAAATTAATACAGTCATATTACAAATTTTAAAGCAACTCAAAGAAATACATGATTGTACATTGTACACTGTACATGTAGATTTACAGTGGTGTGAATCTATTTCTTGACATAAAGCATTGTGAAAGAGCTTCAGTCTTGAGATAAAAGAATTTTAAAGTTCTGTTGAATTAAACAGAATAAAGAGAATTGCTATCTTTAAAAATTCACAACATATTTTCAGTTTGCTTTACCCTTCTTTTTTTCTTTCATCTTGATTTCTGACTTAAAGACAAAATTAATACAAATCTCTGATGCCCCAAAATTCCACATTTTTTTTTTTTTGTTATTTGTTTTAATCTTGAAATTTCTGTAAACATTTTTACAAAAAACAAATCTTTGACTTTGAGGTTCTGAATTTTTTAGTTCATACCATAAAAAACTCCTTGAAGTACAAGTTTTAGAACCTTGTTCACAAAAATCAACCTTAAATTTCTATTTATAGTTATAGTAGCAATCTGTCCCATACCTGGCCTGTGCACCATTTATAGAAAATTTCCCCCTTACCTGGCCTGTGTTCTGTTTATAATGAATTTGTCCTTTACCTGGCAAATTTTCAATTTAATAGTGACCTTATCTTGCCTGAGTTCTATTTATAGTTCATTTGTCACTTACCTGACCTGTGTTACAGACAGTCAGAATTTCTGATCTCATCTCTATAAACATCACATCTTTAAACAGGAACTGTAAAAAATATGAATCAAAACTGATACTTTTTATGTTCCTTAAACATCATCCCATATATAGAGCTTAAATAACAGCATTAATTAATGATTTCTGTACATTTCCTTTTTTAGAATTAGAATAGTATTCTTTTGACTTTTTTTATTAATCTTGCTCAATTACATGTACATGTATCCTGCAATTCTCCTACCATTTTTGATTTGACTTGCACATACTGCATAAATAATACTTACACATACTGAGTATATCATTAAAAAAATCTACCTTCTTATAGAATATATTCTGTAAGTTATATAAATTATAGAAGATCTATTTCTTGTCTACATTTACTAATAATTAAAATGCACTGTTTTAAGTGTGTTGTAGATGTAATGCTCCGTCTAGTCTGAAATTAAGATACGCTTCAGTAATTTTGGATGTGATGTTGTGGACATAAACTCTGTATTGTCTATCTTGACTTAAGCATCTATTAATGACTTCAATCTTTGTACATCTTTTTTTCTTCAACTTGACTTGTAACTAATTTGAAGTTGAGAAATAAATTACTCAAGTTTTGTTCAACTTGACAGAGGGCTAGCTTGACCTTACCCCTGTTTTGTCTAATTTGACTTGAAATGTACAGTTTTACTTTGTGTAACTTGTTTTGAGACAAACCTGAATACGAGTTTACACTTACCTCTGTTTTGTCTAACTTGACTTGAGGTAGGTAGTCATTTTCTAGTCGGTCCAGCTTTTTCATTACGTCTTCATACACCTTATTGGATTTTTCTTTATCAATCACTTTTACCTACATAAAGAATTAATTTAGATTTAATTCATACAATGTAAATAACCTTTGTAATCAGTCTCAAACTGATGAAGAAGATAATATAAATGATAAAATAAATTTAAGATGATGCTAACAGTCTATCTAAAAACCTCAAAGGTATTCAGTAGGTGTTGCTAAATACAGTCTGTCTACAGCTGGGTGTTAAATACAACTTTATGAAAATGGAATATTAAAATCACAAAGGCAAAATTAATTCATTAACAAGTAATATATATCTACTGGAAAAACAGCTTTATTGCTAAAAATAACTACATTGTATTTGTAAAGTACATGCAATGACATTATAAAGAGCTGTTTCCTCATCCATAACTAAAAGTTTTCTTTTATCTTTAACGTGTTGATATATAAAACTTAACACAAACTATGCAGCCATTTCTTACATGAAGCAGGTCATAATAGCTGAAATACCTTATCAACAAGCAATATATCTGCCATCTCTATTACAATTCTCCCTAGATTTACATGATATTTCCTTCATTTTACTCAGAACAACCCAATCCATACAGAGTCACATTATTTCTATATCAAGATTAGCCTGATTGCAATAAGGAAATATAATCTGAATTCTGACTTCATACACAAGTTCCTTTAGTCCTGTACATGAAGTACTTTCTGGAAGTGTATTTCTGTGATCAGAAATAGTGTATATATCTATCAATGAGGACATTCCTGTCCAATAGAGGAATCAAGTAATAAGTAGAGTTAAGTGTGGGAATTGTCATTGATAATGAAGTGGTTACATTGGATCTACATCTACAGACCCACATCACAAGTGGGTCCTGAGTATGTGGACAGTGTTGGAATGCAGAGCAACGTTTCAGTCTTATAAATGGCTGTTTTCCTCAAAGTGTGGTGTATTTTGATAAAAACAAGGACACTGGCAATAGACCATAATTAATGTCTCATATGAAATTTGCAAACACTGATTTATTTTTTTCATAATACATGTATTAAAATGATAAGGCAAGAGTATTTTTATATAATTGAAATTTAAAATGTTTTTGAAAACAACCTTGGTAACATAATTGTTCACATGAAGTCCAGGTAGGGTTTTATTCAAAGAGCAATGCAAACTTACTGTAAAATCACGTATTTTCATGGGGTCAAATTTTCATGGATTGAGGAAAAAATATGGGTATGTGGGTATTTGATTTTATGAATAAAGATTTGTTCAGTAGTTATATATTGTAATTTACTAAATTCACAAATGACCATGTGAGCTAATGAAAAGTCAAACATAAAAGAGACCAAAAAATTTGACTCTTAAAAAAATATAACACCATTCTCTGGGATAGCAAACTAAACGTGAAGTTTAATAGTATAACAAATTTAATTTGTTAAAATGTACAATCATTTTCTGTCTTAATGCTGCACTATATCAGACATTCTTCATAAATGTTTCTGTCTATCATATAGCATTCAAAATAGAAATGGAGAAAATGAAATAAACAGAGAGGAAATATTAATTTTATTTTAAAAATTGCACAAAAATTGAAAAAAAATTTAAACTATCTTATAATTAAAAAGAAAAAAAACTATCTCCTATAACATGTATAAGTCTTAGATTTTTTTTGTAAAATAAATGATTTGCAACTCACCTATTTTTTTTTTTCAAACAAGCTATATACCATGCAGCAGTAAACAAGGCTACTAGCAGTTACTATGCCAATATATCAGGAAGAAATTTCTTTAAGGAATGTTCAATCCATGCTATTTTTATATTTTAATTTTAGAGGAATCATAAACGCCTTTGTGACCAAACTAGACACATCACAATGAGGAAATAGCCTGCAGTGATTGGCACGCCAGGAATGAGTTCTATATTACTCCAGCACTGATAATCAGGAAGTGCAAACGTGTGTTTGACAGAAAGTCATTGTTGACCACTTTTTGTTCATGTAAAAATAACTATATTTTATCAAACTTTATAAATGTCTACATTGAACATGTAAATGACAACATACATAACTTAATGAATAATTATTCTAAAAATGTGGATAATTCCTATTGGGATATTTCTTTTTAGATGTTTTACCTTTTTCGATAAGATAACCTTGACTAAAGATAGACTTGACCTTGACCCTTACTGCAACTAAATATCCAAAAACAGGATTAAATTATGCATATTTTAGCATATAGAATGCAAACAAGAAAACATTTAACACTTTCATTTAGTGACAAAAAAATCGTCAATTACACTTTGGTCATTTCAAAATAATAAAAATTAAAAAAAAAGACACCTAAGTATATTGTATTCAAGTACATTTTTGACTTGTGTTTGTTCACTTTTTATAAAGGAACAACACCTCTTTCTACAACACAGGTGTGTAAAGTAGATAACATAAAAGTGGAGAATGAATCACAAATGACCTTGACATTAACCATGACTTCCTCCATCTTGAACACTGAGGAGAAAGCAATGAATACAGAAGGTCAAGGACAGATGGACTTGAAATGACCATATGAAAGAGTCACCTCTATTTGGAACAGCATGAACATAGGTTTTTGTTGATAAATACAGAAATGTCAAGGCCAATTGAGACTGGAAATGACCTTGACCTGATGAATGACTCACCTCTATCTGGAACAGTGAGGACACAGGTTTGTGGTCGCTGATAAGTAGGTCAGGATGGGAGGTATAGTGAATTTGTTCTATCCCCTCCCCTTTATACAGAATCCTGTCACACCAGGCTGGAATTCTATTCTTTTCACTGAAAAAAAAATCACTTTCAAATCTCAAGTTATCTTAAATTAAATGCTTTCATCTGAAATTGAATTCAGTCATTTTTTTCCCCTTGCATGTTCTTACATGTGAATGAAACTCAGCTAAAACAATCAAGTTCTGAAAAATTTAAACATGTGTACCTTAAATAGCAAATGAAATATCACAGAATAATCCAGATACTCAGTAATGCTCAAAAAATTTTTGTCACTTAGTCAGACTTGAAAAGACTGTGATTAAAAGATTGATAACACGTCCATAAAAGTAACAAGGACTGAGGAAGGAAATGTCTGTGTGCATTAAACAAATACACGGCCACATACTTCTGATCATTATCAACATCATAGTGACACTGTACAGGTAAAATTATCAAAAAGGAAATTGGTGGTGGATTGCTTTGTGTGTAAAACAGTACTGTAAATATCAATGTGGATAGAAAAGGGTTTGTGGATATTATATACTGTAGATTCCTTATTTTTCGCGAGTACTTATTTTCGCGAAATGGCTCTTTAACGTCAAATGGCGAGAACAATAATTCGCAAGTGGACGGTTGATCAAGAGATTTTACATTGATTTCAGCACCATAAAAAATAAAAGCGAGTAATTTTATTTCGCGAGTGGTGCTTCTCGCGTAATTACGCGATAATTAATTCCTCGCGTATATTTCGGAATCTACAGTATACTAAGCAGTATTCAAGATTCTCAGAAAGTATTTTTTACAAGGTGACTTCTTCAAGAATATACATGTTGCTATATATACATGTACATTTATTATATGACTTTAATAAATATGTAAAATTTAAATTTGACAAGTAATTCATGAAATATAGGCATTGGAAAAAAGTCAAACAATGTACATGTGTTAAAAAATAATTGTATTTAAATTATTTCATGACAAGTGGTTGTATAAATAATATTTGACAGGATGTCTTTCTAAGACATCCAACTTCAATTGTAGGAAACTATTGTCATTGAATATACATGGGGACAATGGAAACGAGGAGGGGATGGGGCATGGGGGGACTTCCAGATTTCAAGTAAAGGTAGGATTAACATGAGTAAACTGTTTCAAAATTGAATGTTTGGTGAATTACCTAGAGACCCACTCATTAATTTCTGTGTTGTATTTATATGTTGGCATTAGACTGTATATTTACTAAAGACCCACTCATTAATTCCAGTGTTGTATTTAAACATTGGCATTAAGATTGTATATTTACCGAGAGTCCCACTCATTAGTTCCTGTGTTGTATATATATGTGGGTGTTAGATTGTATATTTACCTAGAGTCCCACTCATTGGTTCCTGTGTTGTATATATATGTGGGTGTTAGATTGTATATTTACCTAGAGTCCCACTCATTAGTTCCTGTGTTGTATATATATGTGGGTGTTAGATTGTATATTTACCTAGAGTCCCACTCATTGGTTCCTGTGTTGTATTTATATGTGGGTGTTAGATTGTATATTTACCTAGAGTCCCACTCATTGGTTCCTGTGTTGTATTTATATGTGGGCATTAGATTGTATATTTACCTAGAGTCCAACTCATTGGTTCCTGTGGTGTACTTATATGTGGGTGTTAGATTGTATATTTGCCTAGAGTCCCACTCATTGGTTCCTGTGTTGTATTTATATGTGGGCATTAGATTGTATATTTACCAAGAGTCCCACTCATTGGTTCCTGTGTTGTATTTATATGTGGGCATTAGACTGTATATTTACCTAGAGTCCCATCATTGGTTCCTGTGTTGTATATATATGTGGGTGTTAGATTGTATATTTACCTAGAGTCCCACTCAATAGTTCCTGTGTTGTATATATATATATATGTGTGTTTGATTGTATATTTACCTAGACTCCCACTCATTAGTTCCTGTGTTGTATATACATGTATATGTGGGTGTTAGATTGTATATTTACCGAGAGTCCCACTCATTGGTTCCTGTGTTGTATATACATGTATATGTGGGTGTTAGATTGTATATTTACCTAGAGTCCCACTCATTGGTTTCTGTGTTGTATTTATATGTGAGCATTAGATTGTATATTTACCTAGAGTCCCACTCATTGGTTCCTGTGTTGTATTTATATGTGGGTGTTAGATTGTATATTTACCTAGAGTCCCACTCATTGGTTCCTGTGTTGTATTTATATGTGGGCTTGAAGTTTATCTGGCCTTCCCTGTAGCCCTTAAACACATCAGATCTGTATAATTGTTGATGAAGCTGAAAAAAAATGATCAAAATTTATTACACTGTAGTGATATCAATATTTTACATGTACATAAAATAAAAACAAACAACATTGAAAACATGCTTTCTAAATCTCAAGCAGCCTTTTGATAATCTTTGCAAGGTACACAGTGTTTTCATTTAGAATCCCAATAAAACTATAATTGGTTACTGGTGTGATTCAGATGTGTTAAAAGTTAACAAAATATTTAGAGAAGGAAAAAGTATCCTAATGCACAAACAAGAGTAGGAACAAATTTTAAAACTAAAACCATAATTATGTACCGGTACATTCTGAGCACTGAAAACTTTTTGTTACATACGAGAAATATAACAGGTTTTCTGATTTCTTTTAGAGGTAAATATTTCTTGCCATAAACAATTCACTTCATTGTTAATTTATGCAGAATTATTCTTCAGTTGCAAAAAATTAATAATCGCAAAAAGTTGTCAAAAATAATAGTTTGTTTAAGATACATGTTAAGATTTTTAGAAGCCATGTAAAACTTGCCTGATCATAGCTGAGAAGATCTGGGTATTTCCCCTTGTCAATCATGGTCTTCACCTTCTCAATGTCCAGCCCATTTATTCTGTAGTTCAGATCACCAATCCAAAATATTTGACTGAAATATTAAATTTTAAACAACTGAAATTGCACTTGCCTTCAGAACCCTGCAGTAGTTTAATGGTTTTGAACCTGTAATGACCCCCTAATTATAGGCCAGAAGTTGAGAAATTATCATTTTGTTATCTTAAATTCTTGCCAAAACTTTTGGACAATTGTCAAAAACGTAAATCATATTGTTTTTAGGTTACATATATTTAGAACTAATTGAATCTTTTACCTCACTATGTACTGTACAATACAAAAGAAAGATGTACAGATCAAGTCTCTATTTACACATAAATGAGAAATTTACAACTAAACTCTAATAAACATAACAATTTCTAGATATAGTTCAGAAGGGATTTAAAGCCATTTTGTTAATCAATGGAATATTAATTATGATAATTATTTTCTGTTGACTTACTCGTGTTCTGATATTGATAGTGGAGGCAGGAACTGTTTAAACCTCATCTTGCCTTCCACATCTCTATAATCCTAAAAGTAAACATGTCCAAATATATAGTCAAGACTAGATGTCTCAAAGATGACAGGGCTGTTATAATGCAAGATATCCAGCTGTATTAACAGCATAATATATATTCTGAATTCAAATAAACCATAAAGAAAGGCATATTTTGAAGTATGAAAGGGGGGGGGGGGGTTGTTTTTTTTAAAGATTTCTTTTAATGAGCATAAATTACCCTCAACAGGTAAATTTTCAATCTTAAAGTAAAGCATGGTTACGGAGTACTGAATGACAAAATCTTTAGAACTCTGAAGTTTTTCTGAAATGAACAAACATGTACCTGGTTTCTTCGTTCATACTCGTCTTGGTGAGCTGCTAAGTGGGTGTTAACAAAACACAGGGAGGTATTGTGGAGGGTCATCCTTACCCCCACCCCTCCTTTGTTACCCTACAAAACATGCAAAACAAGATTGTCAATATAGAATTTTAACATAACTAATTGAATGATGAATTATTCATATTTGAAAAGAAAATCAAGTTACAATGAAAAGCAACATGTAATATACTCTGTATCAAGGTAATTGATATGTCAGTGTAAATGGTACAGGCATTAAAATTTCATCTGATCAAGAATGTAAAAAGTATATTAATTTAATACTTATGTAACCACTAATATTTTTCTCTGAAGTTAATATGAATTGGGCAAGTTGTCTCCCTTGAATAACCTCAAACATTTGTATGCTTTAAATCATTTTCAATAAAATATTCAGTAATTATTAAATATTTTTAATTTTATTTTTAATTATGTGATCTGTGTTGGAGAATTAAAATTATAGCCAAAAGCCAAGACTAAAGAAGAGGCGAGGCACTAACATATTTTACAAAGAAACTCTGACAGAAACCAGAAAATATATATAGTGTTAAGTGTGTTAATACTAGCACAATTTTAGCAGTATTTGGGCCCCAAACTTTCGTGTGGAATCAATTTTGTGGAAATAATAATAAAATATATAAAATTTATATTGAATAAGGCTAATGAAATTTCTCTTGAAAAAGATTACTCATAGAGAAAAACACTGCATTTTTTCACAGAAAAACACAAAGTTTTCCCCCTTGCAAACATTTTCATATCCTTAGTACAACAAATAATACAATGTCAGAATAAATGCTCAAAGTGATCAATGACCCTATAACCTCACCATAATTCCCATGATGCCTGTGGGCACGGAGTCTGCGTCTATGAGGTGAGGGGGAACATCTGGGGCGAGGGAATCTTTGACGTATACCAATAACATAATTCCCACCATACGAATCAGCTTCACCTGTTAAATTATCAAATATCAGAAATTAGTGATCAAAATATTAACTTATAAATAGCACTGCAATTCTGTGGTCCATAATTTACTTTAGGGGGGTTATAATGAGACTGAGAGAAGTCGAGTGTAAAAATTTAGCTGCAGTTTCCATCAATTACTCTGCTTATATGCTGAAGTTTATTCATATCCTTTGAGTATAAATACATGTAATTAATCCAATATAATATTTGACACTCAAAAGTCCAATCTAGAACATGTAAAGGAAGATAACTCTTTTCAATCACATAGAAATCAAAATCTGGAAATTGGTGAATCTGTATACATGTATATGGATGACTGACCCTTCTGTATTTGTGTATGTATGACTGACCTTTTCTATATTTAGATGACCGATCTTTCTGTATTTGTGTATGGATGACTGACTTTAAAATATTTGTGTATGGATGACTGGACTTTTCTCTGTAAAGATGACCGACTTTTCTATATTTTTGTGTGGATTACTGACTTTTCTGCATGAATGATTCACCTTTCTGTATGTGTGACTGACTTTTCTTTCTTTATGGATGACTAACCTTCCTGTATGTTGATATTTGTGTATGGATGACTGGTTTTTCTGTATGAATGATTCACCTTTCTGTATGTGTGACTGACTTTTCTTTCTGTATGGATGACTGACCTTTCTGTATGAATGACCGACCTTTCTGTATGGATGACCGACTTTTCTGTATGGATGACTGACCTTTCTGTATGGATCACTGACCTTTCTATATCGGACTTTTCCAGGCAGACTCTTCCTGACAGCGTTGTTCCACTGTTCTTCCTTCACAGAATCACTGAACACATAGGCCTGGTTACTAAGATCTAGCTCCTGAAATCTGTCAATTACAAAACAAACTGGCATTGTTACTATCTAAATACACTGAGTAGGTGCTATGTTACATGTACGTGTGAATTCTAATCCAGAGTTATACTTTTAACATTCCATCATTGACAACAAACTACTATGCAAACAAGTCAGTGTGAGAATTGCTCAATGGCGAATGGGAGATTTATACTGAAACAAATTAGAAGCATAACAGCAAGAATAAAAGAAATTTATCCCATGTTTACCCCTTTATCCCGTGGATATGGCTCATTGGATAAATTTTTCATATTCCACAGTTAAGTGCAGTTGTGACGTCACAATGGTTTTTGAGTTAGAGTGATGAAGTAAAATAAAGTGGAGTCCTATATAAAACAGTGTAAAACATTGGATGTGAAGTATTTAACATGGGATAAAAAGAATCTCCCATGATTTGTAGTTGGATATGACTTTTATCCAACTTGTGTGTTTTTATCCCCTCGCCAAGGCTCGGGGATAAAAACACACAACTCGTTGGATTAAAATCATATCCAACTACAAATCATGGGAGATCCTATATTTATACTATGCTACATGTATATTTTAAGAAATGAATTTATTTTTGAGAATTCATGAGGACATGAACTACAACGCTTCACACTGGCATATTCCATGATAAATATGCTGGCGTGAAGCGTCGTAGTTCATGTACCTCATGAATTCTCAAGAATTAAATTCATTCCTTATATTTACATTATTTTTTTGATGATTTGCCGATATTTTTGTCATTCAATGATCATCTTTGAAAAAAAGGTTGCACTAGCTATTTTTTGACTTCAGTTAGGTCATAATGGATATATTCTTACTCATCCCACGGTAGTTCATGAGAACATGAACTTTTTCTAATTTGCAAAGTATCATAAGGAAAAATATTTGGAAAGGTAAATATTTATCACTTAACTTGCACTATATTTCAAAGGAAGCAAAATTTCCTTCCAAAAACACAATGCCCAAACAGAAACATACTCTATTTCATCACAGAAATTAATGTAAGTCCACTTCTTGAACTTTAATCTTGGTGGCATAAAAAATACATGGAAGCAAAACCATGTCACTTACCCTATGACATATATGTATATATCTGGTGGAGTATCAAGTCTAACTAATGCTTCAGTGACAACTTACCCTAACATATATATCTGGAGGAGTGTCCAGTCTGTTTACTTACCCTACGACATATATATCTGGTGGAGTGTCCAGTCTGTTTACTTAATACCCTATATGAAATATATATAGGATCTCCCATGATTTGTAGTTGGATATGATTTTTATCCAACGAGTTGTGTGTTTTTTTATCCTTGAGCCTTGGCGAGGGGATAAAAACACACAACGAGTTGGATAAAAGTCATATCCAACTACAAATCATGGGAGATTCTTTTTATCCCATGTTTAATACTTCACAACCAATGTTTTACACTGTTTTATATAGGACTCCACTTTATTTTACTTTATCCTGCTAACGCAAACACCATTGTGACGTCACAACTGTGGATTATGAAAAATTTATCCAATGAGTCATATCCACGGGATAAAGGGGTAAACATGGGATAAACATGTATATCTGGTGGAGTGTCTAGTTTACTTACCCTATGACATATATATCTGGTGGAGTGTCCGGTCTGTACTTACCCTATGACATATATATCTGGTGGAGTATCCAGTCTGTTTAACCAATGCTTCAGCGTTACTGGAGGACTCTGGCCATTCACATTCCAAGTTCCACAAAACACACTGAAATCGTTTAGAAATATTCCTATGAAAAACCAGTATTTCACTTTTGCTTTATACTGTATGGCTAATAAAGTGACTGTGGTACCATTTTAGTTCTGAAGTGCTTTATTTGTAGTACTTTCATTAATGGAGAAATGATACCATTTGGTATATTTATGGTGCCTATCATAACCATGTTCACTATAATCATTTTAATATCAGACCTAAAAACATGAAGTGTGTATGTACGTATTTACTTTAGCAATCATGAATTAGCAATACTCACTTCTGCATTGTGTATTGTTTTCAAGAATGATTCAATGGTATTCATGAATTTAGCGCATTGTTGTCCATGACAAAGCCACTAAATTTTGAAGCTCGCTTTTTTAAGTACACATACAGAACCTTGGGGTGCAAAATTTGACAGGAATTGCCCTTTCTACTTGACATTTTTTAAGGGAATAATAGTCATTGTAACTCCAATGAAAGTAATCTCTTTTTTCAGATGGTCCATGAACCTTAAAGTGACAGTCCTTACGTAAAGTATTTCTTATAGGTGAACTCCTCCTCCCTCATTCTCATGTAATGCCTGACCACATGTTCCCGAGCTGTGGTAGGTTTAAGGTTGTTGACCAGTTCGACCCCTGACCCCGGGATCCCCAGCTGATTGGTGATCATTTTCAGGGAATCAGGAAATGCCCCGTTGTCTTCCTCACGGTAGTATCTATTGAACAAATCCAGTTATTAGCAATATTCTTATAAAATACTATTTGAGATCTACTGTAAACTTGGGTATTTATCATGATTAAGTATTTTTGAGAGCAACCATAAATAGCTATTGAACAAAAAACTTCAAGAAAAAATACATAAATACTTTTTAAAATTCAGTAGGAAACAATTTGAACAATGCAAATGCATTCAAAACTGGGAATTAATTTAATTTGGAATAATTCTTAATCACATATGAAGTAATTTTGAAAATAAAAGTAAAGTTATTCTGAATATAAAGCTATTTTGAATATATGAAAAAAAAAATTTGGCAATGTATTTTTATGTTAGTTCATTTTTTGATAATACTTTTTTGAAGATCCTTTGTACGTGTCATAGTATACAATGAATAACTCTGTTATGAGAGATAAGTACAGTTCAGAGACACTTACTCTTCTAACAGATCTAGAGAGTCTCTACTCTCAGCCTTACGTAGACCAGGTGTCGAGTCTGTCATATTGTCCTCAACCATCGGGCTCGGCTTCTGTCTCACTATAGAATAAAAGAATTCAAAATGAATCAAAGAAAATAAAGAAAAGAAAATACTCAGTCTCTACAATTCTTATTAACAGACATCCTTTAAATGAAAAGTTGATCACCTTTCCATAAAAAAGACAGCCCCCCCCCCTAAAAAAGTTAAAAATTATTTAATGTAAATTGAATTTATTATACTATTTACTATTTTGCTCTCTTTAATATGTTTTCAGGAAGTTCCCTATTGAAAACTGCTTTTGTACACACTATATACATGTAATGATTCTCTTTTTTTACAGAGGATAAAACGTCTTCTAGTTTACACCAGTATTTCAGAAATGGACAATTTTCAATGACCCAGCTGACAACCAATATGACACAACAATTACCAATGTACATAGGTAATACCTATGAAGTTTCCATATCAATTTCTGATTCACTAAATTCTACAATAAATGAGTGAAAAGATTCAGAAAATGAGAGAAACACACCAACACAGATCCCATTTTTCATTTTCCAACCTGTGTCAGAATGTAATATAATTTTTTTGTCCTTCATGTATACATGTAAATCATCTTTCTCATTGACACATTTCTCTCCTTGAAATTCTAAAACGATTGATTTTATGATCAGAATTAATGAAGCATGACGTAAGAAGAATAACATTGATCACTATATACACAGCTGTTACAGTCATGCAACAGTGACGGTCACGTGAGCGTTTAACCTGGTGACATCTGTTGCAATTACATGCATAAGAGGGAACTTATAAAATGACAATAATAAAAGTGAACAATTGTGTTTGTAAAATCATTGATGCTTAAAGACATTCTCTCATAAAATTTTATCAATGCATGAAAATATGACTCTCTGTTTTAAGGAAAAAACATTAAGAATAAAAGAGCAAATCAATACACTGTAGATCAAATATTAAACAGGATTTCTTTTTGTAATTTATATTTCCTGTATGTTTACTTAAATCTAATATGTTGTGATAATTTAATGAGATTTTTATTTAGTTAGTATGCTTTTTAGAGTAAAATTTTTCATTGGCCTATTAATTTGAAAACAAATTAATATTTTTTTTGCTAAAAGCAAATTTAATAAGAATTTTGATTTGTATAAACTTTTGTTTTTGTTACTGAATAAACATGAACTTTTTTTCTACCCATAATCTGTTCAAAAATTGTCAACATTATAAGAAAAAAAAAAAACAGTTGGCTGATATGAGCACAGGGCCATTCTTCATGTTCATAATTACAATGAATAAGAAGACAACAAAATTGTAGGAAGACTAAATGGTTTGCATTAAAATCCACATTAATGACAAGATTTCTTAAGATTGAATTAGAATTTTTCAGGAGATGATTATTCATGCAAAAATGCTATGGACAAAGTGCAGATCACATGGACATCAGAACAGAAGAGGAATTTTGTGTACAAGCGAAGTAACCAAGTTTAAAGAAAAGATGTATATGATAAACCAACTATCCTTTGTGCTAATACTTTCTTCAAGTTTTTCACAAAAGAAATATGCAGAATATTTTCTGCTTGTGGACCAAGTGGTTTAATTATTCTGTCATAAGTAGACAATAATTTTAAGTTACAGAAAAAATACTCAGTACATTTTTCATTTTTTCATTTCAAAACAACTTCTGGAATTTCAATTATTGTAAATCCTTGTAGAACCTGAGAAAGTCGCACAAAAAAAAAGTTGGTTCGACTTCTGTGAAAATAATTTTACACACTCTCAACATGGTCTGTTGCCACAACGTTCTCGCCATCCGAAATATTCATGTATTTCAGTGGGTCAAAAACATCCTCCTGAAATGGATTTTGTGACCTCTCTGGTTGAAACATGTCAATCCCAAAAGGATTGTCCAAATCGTGTACTTTCGAGACGTACAGGCATTCGGACTGGGAGTGGCGGTACCTGTCTGTCCAAGCAAAGGAGGAGGGAAGGCCCTGGGGGGCACCTTGTGGGAGTTCTGCAAGGAGAATACATGGGTGGATCTAGGATAATAATAACGTAAAATATGCACCTAGATTTAATATATTTTGTCAACATCACAAGGAGATTGGGAAGAAGTTCTTATAAGCATTCTTTCTCTAATGGATATTAAGGTTATAGAATAAGCAAAGCATTCATATACACAGTCATGTATAAATATATATATCTGGAAGACAGGGTTAGAAACTCCCTAAAATTACAACTCGCAAATAATTGCGAGTACCAAGAAAATGAACTCGCAATTTTGTAAGACTACTCGCAATTTTCATATAAAGTTAAATTTATATAAATTAAATACATGTAAATTAAGGAAAAAGTAACTATTGTACAATACACAAAATACAACTACAGCTTGACAGTGTGACTTTTATTTAAATTACTGATTTAAATCAAAAGCATTGTGTTCTGTCATATTATATAATTTTGCTACAGTTTCAAAGCAAAAAAATCAACTCGCAAGTTTTTGCGAGTTAACTTATTTTTAACTCGCAATTTTGGAATTCTAACTCGCGTTTTGCGAGTTGTATATAGTGAATTTCGAACCCTGGAAGAGATAGGAATTTTAGTGGGAGTTTTTAGTGGAAGCAGAAAAAAATTTTCTTTTGTAAAATTCTGTATTCCACAACACTTGCTGAATGTTCAATACAAAAATAAATAAATGTATCTAAATCCACAGCTTATAAAACTACTGTCTCCAAGGTTACATAATTTTGATACTTATATAAAATTTGTAAAAAAATATCTTCACAGGTAAAAATTGGCCTTTGCTTCTAATTACTATAATTTATATGTGTAGACTGCTTAACTAGTGTCTTAATTAAACTCCTTCAACTGGCCGTCTATTGTTTCCTTAGTCCCCATGAAATCCCAGTTTTCAGATATCAGTTGATAAAAAAAATTTTTTTTTCCCTTTTACATGATATATAAAGCAGGATACAATATATTTACTTCCAAGTTTTATACAGATACCACTTGAAATCCCAGGCATATACAATCTGAGGTTGCTACAGAAAGAAGCATTACCCTCACTCATAGCTTCCTACGGATAACAATCAGATCTAACATTATGAGCTTTCACATGATTTTAACTGATTAAATTTTACAACTTTGAGACTTCCCTACTGATATCAGATGACTGAGTTTTCTGTAGATTGTGGCTGTTAATTACAATGTTGCTATATATATCTTTTAATATCAGATGACACCGATACATTCCTGAGCTTTCTGTAGATTGTGCTTGATAAGTACAATGTTGAGATATCTACTGATATCTATGACATTTGCTACTCTGAGCTTTCTGTAGATTGTGTTTGATATTTACAATGTTGAGATATCTACTGATATCTATGACATTTGCTACTCTGAGCTTTCTGTAGATTGTGTTTGATATTTACAATGTTGACATATCTACTGATATCATGTGACATTTACTACTCTGAGCTCTCTGTAGATAGATAATTATTGATTTGGATGCCATACATGTAGCATCTTTTAATAATACTCTGATAAAATTTTACAACTTTGGAGATTTCTCTACTGATATCAAGGATATCAGCTGAAACTTACGACTCTGGGCTTTCTGTAGATAGGTAATTAATGATTTGGCTGCCACAGCATCTTTCAGTAATACCCTGACGTTCTTGCCTCCCACAAAAAGATCAACCACCTGCTCAGCTGAAATCAGAAAAATAACATTTTGATTGAAACATTTTAATATTTTAACAAGGTAAATTTTTTAAAGGAATTTTATTCAAAGTAGAGAAAGGAAGACCTTTAACCAAGTGAAACAAAGTTTTCTGTAACAAAAAATAAAGACTTAGATAGATCTATAACAATTAAATATATGATATTTATAAAAGAATTATACACTTTAAAGATACATAACTATAAATAATAGATTGATTACATACATAATAAAGAATACACATGAAATGAGTAACATACTGTTTTTCAGAGGATCAAAGTCATCAAGAGAGGATTGTCTGTTGACATTGTCTGTAAAACAGCCAAAAAAAAAAAGATTACATTGTCTATAAAACAGAGAGAGAGAGAGAGAGAGAGATGGGGAGAGAGACATAAATATGGACATTTTTTCAATGGTAGATGCATGCAATCACAGCTCCAGTTATAATCTTTTAGTGCAAAGTGTATTTTAATTTTACTCCATGGTTTTCAATTCAATGCAGATTTTAATTTGCATCTGAGCAAAAAGCATAACATATTTTGCTGTTTAAATGTAAAACGAAAATCAAACACTGAGCTTACCTAAATTCACATTTAATATTAGATATGTTGAACTTGTACTAGTGGTATTAAATTTGTTGCACACATACCGGTAACTTTCAGAGTATAACTCATATTTACAATTGCTAATGCATAATTGTATGCCCAATTTCAAATTTTAATGTGTATTTTATAAATGCATATTTCTTTAAATATACACATTATCTGGACTGGCTTTAAGTCTCGATAAATAAAACCAATACAATAATATTTATAAATACAAATTTAAGTTTACACAACAACAAAGTATGTGAATCCCCTTTTTTTCTCTCTGGATAAGATTTTAAAACAAGGAAGAAATTTTCTCTCATCTCTTTGTCCAGACAAACAAGTAAATGTGGTAGACATACTCATAAAGAGCTAAAAACATAATTGGGTAAACATGGTATAGAGATCACATATTCCCCCAACTTCATCAGATTGTTATTAATAATAGTATTAGTACATACAATAAATATGTACTTGATCATGAGTCACATGCTCCTTATAACATGTTATTATCTCACATGATAATTCACAATTATATATATTATATTTAAGGACATATGCAACATAGTTTTGAAATTTATTTTCATACTCCTAGAATAATCAAACAGTTGCAATAATCAAGGGTCCTTTGTGCAATTTAAAGATGAATGGTAATGCTATGTACGTTTTCTAAGTCAAATTTTGGAGAAATTCCTGCTGAAACATTTTTTAACTTAATTTTTCTTTGAAAAATACAAGGGCATTTATTATTTGATATCTGTTCAAAAGTTCTGGAAATGAATGCTGATTTTTTTGGTTTAAGAACATGTGATTGCATTTTGATTTTTAATTAAGAATATCTCGGAAAATTATCAGTGGGTAAAGTACAATGTAAAAAACATGTACATGTATGTTGCATAAGTCCTTAATTATTAATCAATATTCCACTCATCTTTAATGTTCACTGATTGAAATTTAAAGATCATGGAGATCAAAATATTAGTTCACCACTGTTCACATGAATAAATAATTTTTGATTTAACATTAAGAAATAATGAGACCATTGATATAAATGACATTCTTGGTTTACCTTTTTCTGAAAAGATCAAGAAAGAAATGCATGGTAATAACGTCTTTGTGAGTTCATCAACCAAAGAAGAGAGATAATGAGCCCACTAATGCATCCTCAATCAATAATGCAGATTCTTAGATCATCTATGTTTATATAATATGGTACAACAACTTTACTAACACAGAGCTGCATTGATTGACTTAAAGCTTAGCTAACAATAACAGTGCTGCCTTGAGATATGAAGACTTCCTAACTTGGATGAAAACAATACCAGTTTAAGAACAACTTCTGTAATTTTTCTGAAGTTGGGAGAGGTCATTTAATGCTGATGATTCTAATACTTTGCTGTTGGTATTATTTTCAAATTAGTATATTTTCTCAAAAGATGTTTAAGCTGTTCGTCAAAAATTTAAAAATGCAGTTTGGCACTGAGCCTCCATGGATACAAGTTCAGTCACTAGCTTACGGTTATTTAGGAATGGACTTGCTCCAAAAACCTTAACCTTTCATTCATTTTGAAAATTAATGTCAGATCCAGCATCTGAAGTAAGTATGATAGTGTGCATCCCTAGATCTATGCTTAGATTTATGCATCAAGTTAAGTCACCATGGGGCTTAAAGTTACTGGGAATGGACTTACTCCATATACTTTAACAGGGCACTCAACTGGAAAAGCAGGTTAGATCCAGCATCTGAGGCATCCCAAGATCTACGCATCATCCATGCAAGTTTGGATACCAAAGAATTTACAGTTACTTTGGAGTGTACCTGTTCCAAAAACTTTAAACTGGTCACTTTAATATCCAGATAATCAATGAGGTCAGATCCAGCATCTGAAGCAAATCTTGTGATTATTCCTTCCCATGATACATTATCCATGCAAGTTTTGTCTAGGTACAGCTTATAGTTAGTTGGGAATGGACTTGCTCCTTAAACTTTAACAGGAACACCAACGCTGATACCAAGTCAGGGGTGTAGCATAAACTCCTCTTGACTTAGCTGATGTAAACTAAAAATGCTAGAAATATTTTCTATGCTCTGCTCTAGACAGAGAGGGACTGTTCAAGACCAAGTGATCATTGAAGAAAATCAAGATATTGTGTATCTGTCAGCCTGTTTGTGCTTTGTACTATTTCTGTGAAATTCTTACTTTGTGACATGAAGAGATGTCTGTATGCATATGTGTCTCATTTTGCTCTGAGCTTTTTACTGAAAGGAACATTACCAGTGTGTCTAGCTGTCTGTCTGTGTCTTGTCTTGAGTTTCTTTGTTGACCCTGAGAGGAACATTACCAGTATGTCTAGTTGTCTGTCTGTCTGTGTCTTGCTCTCAGATTCTTCGTTGATGTTGAGAGGAACATTATCAATGTGTCTAGCTGTCTGTCTGCACAGTATTGTCTTGCTCTGAACTTAATTTGTTGATCTGTGAGGAACGTTATCAGTGTATCTAGCTGTCTGTGTCTCATCTTGCTCTGGTTTTACTCTGAGAGGAACATTACCAGTGAGTCTGTTTATCTGCAGCTCACATTCACTGTTCTAAATGATAAGAAGCTCTTTGTGTGTGTGTGTTTGTCTGATGTAAAGAAATATTGATGTCTGTATCAGTCTGATATGAACCTCATTGTGTTTTTTAGATATAGAGGCCCATTGTCTGTGTTTGTCTTTCATTGCTTATTTTTTCTGTCTGCCTTGTGCTCTTTGTATTCTCACTTTCCCTCACTGGGAAAGTCATATTGTCTGTCTGTTTGTGTGTTGTGCTATTATTTATATTCTCGCCTTCCCTGACCGGGAAAGTCCTATCGTCTGTCTGTTTTCATCTTGCTTACTTTCCCTGGCTGGGAAAGTTATATTGCCTGTCTGTTTGTGTGTTGTGCTGTTTGAGATTCTTACTTTTCCTGACTGGGAAAGTAATACAATCTGTCTGTATGTGTGTTGTGCAGTGCTTTGACTGGTGTCTTACTTTGTCGGAAATGGAAATCCTCGTTTACTTTTATCACATCCTCCACAGATAAATCATTCTCACTAGTGCAGGGGATTCCCCGGGAAGAGAACAGGAATAACCTAAAAATGATACCAAAAAATATTCAAGTTTTGTCATCTTTGGTTATTTTTTATTTTCTAAAAGTTTAGCTATATGCAAGATCTGCAGGAACTCTTCTACTGAAAAAAAAATTTATCATGAAATAAATTTTAGAAACAACACAGGACTATAGAGATTTACTTCAGTTCAAATGGTCAAAGACAAAGGTCAATATTAATTACGGATTTACTGATCATATTACTAGCACTAACATAGAAAATTAACACAGTATATACATTTATATAAAAAAATATACATATTCCAATTACTTTCTTTTGCAATCACATTATTCCTTTAGTTATTGTAATAAATAAATGATGCTTTACAATTATTTTGTTTACTTATCACTGCTTTTGTAAAGTCATAGTTTTCTTTTAAAAGTTTCCTTGATTTATTGAATATCATGTACAACAATACCACAGTATCATGATTCTTCAAAGATCTGACTTAATTTATATGTATAAATTTATTTCCTGTAGGAGTGACTGGAGTATATGCACCTAGTCATAATTCTACTTCAAATATTTTCTTTGAAATCTAAATATTGTTTCTACTTTTTTTTTTGAATAATTAAATCTACATCTCATACTCACGCAGTATCTGCCTGTTTCTGTACGACAGCGATGTACCTCTCTGCCTGGATATTGTCTTCTATGATCCGGCCCAGAATACAGTACAGTAATTAAGGAAGCTCACACAATTAACTATTACTTGACCAATAGTATCCAAAGTTATATATTTAAAGTCAATGACATGTACAACTATCGCTAATTATTCAATCCTATAATTTTTGAAGCTGTTGTTAGAGCTCTATAGTATATATAATCAATAAAAATCTTGCATTTGTTATACAATATGTAATATCCACAAATCATAATGACAGTTATTGTTTATATAACACTGCTGCAAATGTATATAACAAAAAAAAAAAAATTGCATAATATACATTTAGTATTTAAAAAAAAAAAAATGAATTAACTTGTGAAAAATAAAAATCTTATTTAAGTATACCGATATACATTTATATGTCCTAAAAGTAAACTATATTGAATATCTTTATATAATTATTAATAATGAAAATTATTGATAACTGCTTTTATCCTAAAAGAATTTTGCAATAAGTTCTAACTTAATTAATTTTCTGATTCAATTATTTTGTCGTAAACAATATTAAATTGAGTGACTGACCATGCTGAAAGTGCTTTCATTCCTTAGTAACTATAACAATCATTGTATATAATTATAATTACTTAAAGCATCTATTTAAAGTAAATGTGTCACTGAACATGATCTAATATGTTCAGAAGTTACATAAAGTAGCATATACGTACAGTGAATAAGCTTCCTAGAGAACAATCTACTAATCAGGACATCAGGAAGTGAACGACCGACTTCCTTTTAACAACTCAATGTTTAAAATATTACACGCGTACACCACTGTTGTACCGGTAACCAAGAGATTGTCAATGATTAGAATTAGTGATGTTATTGATTGTCTTTCACCTTTAATCTATGTTTATGCAATATATGTAAAATTTGTCTATGAAAGAAACTGGGATAATTATTTATAATCAATTAGAATGATTCAGTCAGAATTTCTAAAAATAAATACTTGTGCATTTATCATGTTTATTTCATCTGTTTACAAATAATAATAAATAAATCAATAAATACAAAGTATGTGACAGGATTTTTAAAGGTTAGTGTAATTAGTAAAATATGTATCATGCTTTGAAAATAGAGTCAGTTCAAACAGCCTACTTGAGGCAAATTATGACAAACCACCAAGTGTTTTTTCAATCACTTTTCATGAATATGAGGAATAAATGGAACACTGAAAAATTAAAATGTTATCATTCTGGTTTGCAGAAATACAAGCAAAATATACTGTTACCATGATCATGGATCATAATACCAAACCATAGCTGCCAATAGACCTGAATGTCAAAGGATATGTACAGTACTTTTTCGTCTGCTCGCAATCGTCTCTTCACAAATGGCGTGACCTCCATTCCGCGTGCAACATTATCAATTTAATTCCATTCAAGCGTATCTTTGATTTATATCTATCAGGAATTCACTTTGAGTTTAGATCAAGTTTCTTACTTGTATTTCGCATTCAATTTTTGTTTTCGCAGGAAATTGAATTTGTCATAGTTGCAGTTTCTACATCTTGAACCCGATCATTGAGAGGCATTTTAATAGCAAAGGTCAAATTTTTTTTAGGTTTAGTAAATATATGCTAATACTATATATATTTCAATACTTAATTATCAACATTGGTCAAATTAATCAAATATTTTAAGAGAAATATTAATGGCTTCCATGCAGCATTGAAATCAATCCTGACTATATTTCAATCGGAATCGGAGTTGACTTTATCTAATTTCCAACGCGGCGATAAAAACTGAGAAACATGATGATGATCAGCGAGGAGGAAATCTTTTATTCTGTCTTAATTTTCCTTTGGATCGTCTATTTCTGGGAGTCTTATCTTTCCTCAAGACAGGTGTTACTGATCTGCAATTTGTTCCAATATTTTCTTTTGTGAATAATCAATATGGGCATATTTTTTCAGTTTGTGACAGCAAGATGCCTGATGGAATATTGAATTCACTATCCCGTCCATGTGTGTGTGAGATGAGACAGTGGCGGATCCAGAAGTTCCTGTGGGGGGGGGGGGGTTGAGGCCCGTAGAGCCGAAGCGGGAGGGCATGGGAGGGGTGTCCCCCTCCCATTGGTGGGGGTTCGGGGGCCTCCGACGAGAAATTTTCTTTAAAAATGCTCCAAATTGTGCATTTTCCAGCATTTTAAATTGAATTAATTAGTTTTTGTCCACTTTTTTCTAGATGTTTTTCAAGACTGACCTACCCAAATTTTCAAGAATTTGAACATAAAATTAAAATTTGGGAGTTAATTATATGCACTCATTATTTCTTTTTCTTTTTTTTTTTACACACTTGCATGTACATGTAGCAGCCTAATGCCTGATAAAAGAAGTCTTTGCAAAATTGTTGGAATAATTGCTTATTCATTGGGGGGGGGGTAATTACATGCACTCTTTAATTCTATTATTTTTTACCCCCTTTACCAGCCCAATGTTTGAAAAAAAAAGTCTTGAAAGACAATTAAAAAAGTGGCCAATTCTTGTGTTCACAGGACCTCTACTTTATACATATCTGTTTTACCTAAATTCATAATACAAAGTTGTAACCGTTAGTTGTTTTTTTTTTTAAACAACATTCAACAGTAATTTAAAAAAAAAAAATGCAGATCTTTTGCTTTTTAAAATTGCATTGAAACTTCCATCTACAAAAGGAACACTTTCAATGTGCTTTTTGGTACAGGCCACAACGTAAACAACTAGTAAACCATTATTACTCGAAGGGTCAACTTTCCCAGTAGTAAAAGCAACCTGATTATGTCATGAAAATATTGTATTAATTGATTTTTTCTAAATAATAATAATCACAGTTTATTCACGTAGTTCAAGAAACACTGATAAAGTAACATTCATTAAATTCTTGAAAGTATATTAGTTTACTTAAGCAATTATACCAAAACCGTAATAACTACGTGCAGTTTTGGTTGTTAGTATATGACCTTGTGTGATCTCTACTGTTGATTACCTGTGTATTGTACTGTGCACTAAAGCAGAAAGGGATTTCTCGTGGTGGCTGTATATTTCATCTCTTTGTGTATAACAATGGGCTTGAATAGAGTCTCATTTATGAAATATATTGTTAAAATGACACTTGTAAAAAAAAATTTTTTTGATTGGGTGGTTTTTTTTTCCCGAACCCCCCCCCCCCCCCCCCCCCCCAACCCCCCTGAATCCGCCACTGTGTGAGAGAGAGAGATTACTGTCTTCAATTATTGCCCCTTTTGGTAATGAAAAGGTTAAAAAAAGAAAATTCATGAAAATGGTTTTCTCACCTTAACTTTAATGTAAGCAGCATAAACTATTTTTCAGAATGGTGGAGTCATTTTTTGATGAAATAATTATGTTCTTGATATTGGCCCTACTTATTTCATAATTTAGATAATTACAAATTTGTTAATCATACCCATTTTATTAATTACAGCAGGTCCGTAGGAAGCAAATTCAGTTTGGGGGGGGGGGGGGGTACAGCCATACATTTTCAGTTGACAGTTGAGGGGGCACTACTTCCAAAATTTCCTGACAAACAAAAAAAAAAAAAAACAAAACAAAAACAAAAAGGTCATCAACTACCAGAAATTCCTTGACAAGCAAAATAAAAGTCATGAGATGTTTTTATTGAGGGGGCACAACCATATAGTATCTATGTTTACTAATACACTGTTACAGTACTATAGTAATTTATATACCGACAGAATAATTGGAGGGGGGGGGGTTCCTACGGCCATGTAAAATGTATCTGTAAGTGACTATCATTATTAGCATCCAAGGACACCCAGTTCTTCCTCTTTTAACATCTGTGTCTTTTAATGTTAACTCTAAGTTAAAAAAAAATTACAGTAAATTATTAGATGCCTTGTACTAACAAAAAATGAAATCCAACTTTAATATGTAATTAAGTGTACAATTTTACAATATACAGGGAGTTTTCTGGTACATAAACCTGATAGGATAAATGGGCATTTTTTGTCTTAAGAGAACTTTGAACAAACTTGAAAAATTGTAACATTTATTTATTTTATATTTGTAGAGGTATCTTGCGAAAACAGTAACAGATGTTCCAGCAGAGCTAGAAAAAGTATTGGACCAAGAAACATTCACCAAAGCTAGGCTCTACTCACTGGACAAGAGTACCTTTGGCTTCTGGTCGGGTGTTTACCACCAGCTAGAGTCCACGGTAAGAGGGGTTATCTCAGTAGTTATATTGAGATATAGTAATGACTAATGAGATGTGGTAGAGTCTATATGTAGTAAGAGGAGTGTCTGTGATCTCAGTGGTTGTATTGAGATATTGTAATGACTAATGAGATGTGGTGGAGACTATATATAGTAAGAGGAGTGTCTGTGATCTCAGTAGTTATATTGAGATACTGTAATGACTAATGAGATGTGGTAGAGTCTATATATAGTAAGAGGTGTGTCTGGGATATCAGTAGTTATATTGAGATATTGTAATGACTAATGAGATGTGGTAGAGACTATATATAGTAAGAGGAGTGTCTGTGATCTCAGTGGTTATATAGAGATACTGTAATGACTAATGAGATGTGGTAGAGACTATATATAGTAAGAGGAGTGTCTTGGATCTCAGTGGTTATATTGAGATATTGTAATGACTAATGAGATGTGGTAGAGTCTATGTATAGTAAGAAGAGTGTCTTGGATCTCAGTGGTTATATTGAAATATTGTAATGACTAATGAGATGTGGTAGGGACTATATATAGTAAGAGGAGTGTCTGTGATCTCAGTGGTTATATTGAGATATTGTAATGACTAATGAGATGTGGTAGAGACTATATATAGTAAGAGGAGTGTCTTGGATCTCAGTGGTTATATTGAGATATTGTAATGACTAATGAGATGTGGTAGAGTCTATATATAGTAAGAGGAGTGTCTTGGATCTCAGTAGTTATATTGAGACATTGTAATGACTAATGAGATGTGGTAGGGACTATATATAGTAAGTGGAGTGTCTTGGATCTCAGTGGTATATTGAGATATTGTAATGACTAATGAGATGTGGTAGAGACTATATATAGTAAGAGGAGTGTCTGTGATCTCAGGGATAATATTGAGATATTAATGATGTTGTAATGAGATATGGTGTGTCAACTCAACCACAGAATGAGATAGCATCATATCATTATTGACTTGTATAAGGCCAATGCTGTCATCTACAATGCATGCAGCTAATTGAGAAGACAGTATTCACCAAATCAGAGGGTTGACATGAATATACAGTTGAACTTCAGTACCTTGAACATTAGTATCCGAAAATACTCTGAATATGTTTGAAGTGTATTGGAAGTCTCAACTACTCTACCTTTCTCTATGTATTTTAACCTTGATATTTGAGTCATTACGTGTCTCAAAGTTTTTTTTCTCTGTCGCATCAAGTGCAAGATAACAAGGTGTGACTGTAGTTATTTGAGAGTAGCTAAAGTGCTTTTCAATGCTACAGTTAGTTAATATTCAGAAACTGCACTAAGATCGATAAGTTGAAAATATTAGGATTCAACAATATTAATAATTCTAATTATCATAGTTTTTTGCCAATATATGTAGTACAATAGTTTCCTTATAAAATTAGAATAATGCAGCTGTTAGATCACATTTCTTGGCAAAAAATGGAAATTTTACTTGGAACATTGTCTGAGGCAGTAAACTAAAACACTGCAAAGTTTCATTTGTATAAAACTAGGCAGAGAGTCCTAAGTTAGGAAACTTGTTCTCGTTCTGTTATATATTGATAAAACTTCCCACCAACAGGAAAGCTGAAACAGCTACTAGGGCTGATCAGTTGTTTAATTATAAGGATTTTTAAAAAAAAAATGACTTCATTGTAATAGCATGTTTTTCAACAACTTCTGTTATCTGGTACAATTCCAGTGCTTCATTTAAACTACAACTTTGATAGGTTTCAAATAAAATTTTCATGATTATAGTTTTTGATGAAGATTACTAAGGTACATGTAGCATTTATTTTGTTTCAATATGCATTTATCATTATGTCAATTTTTCCAGGTAATTCTGTGTATTGGTGCCCTGCCATTTGTATGGAAACTAGCTGGCAGGATAAATGGCCATTTTGGATATGGCACTGAATATGAGGTGACTATATTTTTAATAATTAAAAATGTCTATAAGTGCAGAATGTTTAAGTTGATAATGATTAATATATACATTTGCAAATGTTTTCTTTAATATAACACTATTAAAAGCAATGCGTATCTATATCCGTATAAACACAGGTTCCTCACGTCATAAACGTTCGACTTAATTTCTCAGTGACGTCATAAAGGGTCGACGCGCAATCAATGGATTAAACACGTGCCGTTGAGTTTGAAAAAATAAAACACTTCACACGTTAAAGATTATAATCAGGCAAATATAAAATATAAATAAGTCACAAATGTAAATATAAGTAATAAGGTATCATTTTAAAACATCTATCTGGCTATAAATACGGGTTGGTACGAGATCAAAGAGCTAAATCCACAAAGGGGCTAAA